TGCATTGTTTTATTTAATTATCATAAGGATTTTATGAGGTAGGTACTATCATTATTTCCATATTGTAGAATAGCAAACTGAGGCAGAAAGAGATTATATGACCTTCATGGTCACATTATGACATGGTCACATGGTCAAATAGGATTGGCCTTTCCTTATGGTCACATTTTAGATCCAAACCCTAGACAACTGACTCAAATGTTGGTGCTTTTAATCATTACAGAATACAGTCTCTCAGATAAGATGGAACTCATTCAATGAAGCAACTATTTTCCAGGATCTCTTTTGTTATGGAATCTATGCTTAATGATAAAGCTAGAGGGATGAAGACAAAACTCTGACCCGACGCAGTGGTGTACACCTGTAATCCCAGCACTTTGGGAGGCCGTGGTGGGCAGATCATGAGGTCAAGAGACCATTCTGGCCACCATGGTGAAACTCCACCTTTACTAAAAATAAAAAAATTAGCTGGGCGTGGTGGTGCGTACCTGTATTCCCAGCTACTTGGGAGGCTGAGGCAGGAGAATTGCTTGCATGCAGGAGACGGAGGAGGTTGCAGTGAGCCACAATTGTGCCACTGCACTCCAGCCTGGTAACAGAGCCAGACTCTGTCTCAAAAAAAAAAATCTAACATTTTAAGATATGTATATATATATATATATATATATATATATATATATATATGTACACACACACACACACATACACACACACACACACGTATATATAATACTTTAAGATAGTTTGGATCTGGAGGCAGACTGCTTATCCTCTCGATGTGACCTTGGACAATTATTTAAACTATTTTTTTTTTTAATTTTGCTTCAGACTTGTGAAGTGTTGAAGATTAAACAATTTATTTATTATGTATAAATTGCTTAGAATAGCACCTGGCAAATATACTATTTTTATGCCATTAATTATTAACATTACCATTATTGTTGAAAATAAATTTCAAATTGTTTGTTTTATGTAGATGACCTCTTTTAGGGGAAAATAAACCTGTAAGTCAAAATGAATATTATTTTAATATATGTTTCACTTCTTCTACCTAAACTTGATGAGATTTGTTTATTTGATTCAAAATACCCATAAATATCTGGACTTGCAAAAAAATTCTTCTCTCTCCTGCTGGCTGGTGCAGTCCTTCTCACTCCAAAAGTGGGGCAGATAAAACCAGAAAGTAGTGTATACAGCATAACTTATGAGTGTTAGGACTGTGGCTGTCATCTCTCCCACCTTCTGTGAGATTCCACCAATTGGCGTAGGAAGTGTCAAACGTTCAGGAATCCTTGGATGAATATAAACACAAGTTTGAAAGCTGTAAGTGTGAGTTTTTTTGTTACAATGACTCATCCAGAGGCCAGCAAACAATTTCATCAAGCTCTACACTTACTGGATTTCTGGAGTCACTTTCTTTTATGCTTACGTATCAAAGTATGCCATACACCCTCAGAAGTTTCTGTTCTTTCTAGGTGGCAAACTTTGTATTTGAATTCATAAGTAACAATTGAATTTCACTTAGAACTGTTTTTTTCTACGCCGGGCGTGGTGGCTCAAGCCTGTAATCCCAGCACTTTGGGAGGCCAAGGCGGGTGGATCATAAGGTCAAGAGATCGAGACCATCCTGGTCAATATGGTGAAACCCCCGTCTCTACTAAATAATACAAAAAATTAGCTGGGCATGGTGGCACATGCCTGTAATCCCAGCTACCCAGGAGGCTGAGGCAGGAGAATTGGTTGAACCCAGGAGGCAGAGGTTGTGGTGAGCCGAGATCGCGCCATTGCGCTCCAGCCTGGGTAACAAGAGCGAAACTCTGTCTCCAAAATAATAAAATAAATAAGAACTGGTTTTTTTTCTGATGTCTCACCTTTGCTACTAGCTTGGTGCAAAAATAAGTATGAGTTTTGCAATTACTTTTAATGGATACTAAATATTAATAATTTTCTTAGTACAAACATAAATAAGGGCTTATATGTTTGATTTTTTTTTTTTTTTTTTTTTTTTTGAGACGGAGTTTCGCTCTTGTTACCCAGGCTGGAGTGCAATGGCGCGATCTCGGCTCACCGCAACCTCCACCTCCTGGGTTCAGGCAATTCTCCTGCCTCAGCCTCCTGAGTAGCTGGGATTACAGGCACACGCCACCATGCCCAGCTAATTTTTTGTATTTTTAGTAGAGACGGGGTTTCACCATGTTGACCAGGATGGTCTCGATCTCTCGACCTCGTGATCCACCCGCCTCGGCCTCCCAAAGTGCTAGGATTACAGGCTTGAGCCACCGCGCCCGGCATATGTTTGATTTTTATATTTCAAAAGAAATAGGTCATTTACCTTCAAAATTAACACATTGATGGCTTTCAGCTAGTGAAGTAGAAAAGTTGAACATGATATGCATTTGGGACAAGAATTTTATTTGATTAAAAGAAAACCCTATTAAGTATATATTATCTGTCTGGCACACTACTGTCAATGTGATTTAAAAGATGCATAGTTAAGCTAGAATAAGTGAAGAGGAAAACCACTGTATACATGTTCTCTGATGTTTACACAAGTATATTTATAAAGTAATGTTTAAATGTTGGGCCACATTTGCATTTATTTTTTTAGGAATAACATAATTAAAGAATGTGGGAAAAAGAAGTTTTAGGATAAACTATTTTTAAGCTCATGTGTAGACTGTATGCCTTGTAGCAGAGAATAGAATTGTGCACAAAAATAATTACTCCCTTCCATATTCACTATGGTGAACAGATATGAACGGTGAAATTCCTTGGAAAATATTTTCTTTCTTTATCCTGCTACTTTGGTCCTTAACCTAGGTCTAAAGCATAGTAGTTTGGGGGTAAAGATGAGAGAACAAAACTTCTGTTTCTGCCTTTAAGTAAGAAAACAGATACTATGCAGTCATTTCTAGTAGTGTGAGATTCTTTCCTCAAATATATTGTCCCTTGCCTTTGTTCATTTCAAAAACGGTAGCTTGGGGACAAAAAGCAAAGCTTTAGAGTAGGAAAGGAAAAACTTCCCATGATAAATATTCCAGGGAGTAGGAAGAAATGAGCCCAGTAAAGGCAGAATGCCATGGATACACGGTAAAGGGATTCCCAGGGATACCACAAAGAATTCCACAAGTATATGCTTCTTAAGGAAGATGACTGTGTTACATATTGAAGCATTTAATGCAATTTAATGAAAATAAGCAGATACTATATACTGAAATGCACATATGTGTTACAGATTGAAGCTTTTCATCAGTAACATAATAACTCCCCTTAGGTTTCATAGGCCTTTCCCAAACAGGCAGACAGACACATATGATACTTGTGGAAAAAATGGCTTTGATTTTGTGAGATACGTAGTTGGATTAAGCTGATCGGAACAGAGGTTGTTCATTTTGTTTCCTTCTACTCAATAATTTCTGGTCTCTTGAAACCTAATTTACTTTTTTTAAAAAAAAGATAGAAAAGTATCATAAATATATGAACTATGAATCTATTAGGAAAATTGGACATTTTCTTCATGTATATGTAATTTGTTTTGTTATATAACACATTTATTACATGTTGCCTGGCTATTTACTCCACAAAAATAGACATGTGAGTTATGTTTGCACACAATCTCTAAAATGTAACTATCCCTGATGTGCAAGTATTTTTGAACTCAGAGGACTGGGTTGTAATTAATACTGATGGAGAAACCAGAGTTAGAAATGTCTTTAGCAGACACTGTAACACGTTTCCAGCTTGGGCCTGGGACTCACTGTAGGTGGCACTACACATGCACAACACTGATTGAGAATAAATGAGCAGATTTAACGCAATCATCTAGAGCAGGTATCAGCAAACGTTTTCTATAATGGGACAGATAGTAAAAATGTTGAGTTTTGCAGGACATGTGCTCTCTGTACAACTCTAACTCTGACACTGTAGGCAAAAAGCGGCCACAGGCAATGTGTAAATGAGTGAATGTAGCTGTGTTTTAATAAAACTTTATTTAGATTTGGCTCATCAAGCCCTGATCTAAACACTGTTTAAAAATAAATAAATAAATAAATAAAATAAAAAGTGAATTTGGAATGAATTTTTCCACAAATATAAATGTCTTTTTGAATTTACGTTTATTTCTGCCACTTTATGTTGTTCTTTTCTTTTTTACACTTTGAATTGTTGATACGATCACACTTTTGTTTTAAAGTGCAACTATTTCATTTTTTCTTCTTCTAAATGAAAAATACTTAGTTTTTTGGTTTTTTTTGCAAGCAAAATGGAGAAAAGGGTATTATTTTTATCATAATTCAAGCCACAGACATGTAAGATCCACAAAATGGATTGATGATTTTTGAAATTCCATATCATACCAAAGGTACAGACTGTTTCAAAGCATTTGTACCTATTGAGCTGAAACAAAAACCAAACCAAACCTTAATCCCACCAGCAATGAAACCTGTCTATGGCCTTGGTAGAAACATCATGACTTACTCCAACATGGCAAGATCCACAAATATTCTCTAGTGCTGTGTGGAAATATTTCACCAGGTCCACAAATCCAGAGGGGAGGTGGAAGACTCTGGCTGCAACCAGTGCAAAACATTTGCATCATCGGACCAACTTCCAAATCGATTTTTATAAATATGGACAAATAAGTTACAGGCACTTGAAATGTCTTTGGCTGGAAGAACCCAGCATTGCAAGATAATGTATTCACATAGTGTCCGGACCCAGGCTGGGTTCAGCAGGCAAGGATTATGGTTCTCTCAGTTTCTCTCAGAAAACAAGAAACTGTGGGATTTTGTTTCAGCTGAAACTGCCTTCTCAGGACAATAGTTAGGATTGCTCTGACACAATTTGTTGTCTGCCTTTGATAACAATATAGCAAAACACTGTTATTGCCATCATGAAGAGGAAGTAACTGATATACATACATGAGATGCAAATTTATTAATGAACAGTCATCATCTGGAGCAATAACTATGCTTGGGATTAAAAGCGTGATAGCAGAAAACAGCATATTCTGTGTTGGCCTTTCTTGGCAGTTCTAAAGATCTTGCATTAGAGTGTTATTGCTGTATGTGTCAGAAACAGTAGGGTGGCTGCACAGTGACAGGGAACACACCTAGGGTGTCTCTGAGGGTCATGCAGGCTGGGAACACCATCTGCTCATGGTGACTCTCAAGAGCACAGCTATCTGATCTCTAACCTGGAGGCAGGGTAAAAGTAATATTTATCTCATCAGCTTCTCTGTCTGAAAGTCCAATCTGATGACCTAAAATGATTGAATACTGGTGAGTGATTCCATGAGAGTACCCTGCAAAGAACTTGAGTGGGTCCAGGGTTAGGGTGATTGCAACTAAGATGTTAACCGGTCCTGAATCCTCCAGGGCGTGGAGAGACCTGGTGGATGCTCTGGGCTGCATGGTCATTATGCTCCCCAGAGTTTTGGTGTTGTTTTTGAGATGGCTTAGTATTTCATTTTCTGATGGACACAAGTCCAAATCATTAAACCATAGCAGAAAACTATTCCAATCTTCAGCCATTTCTGGTGATGTAATCTCCTTGATTTTGAATGAACAGCCCAGGATTGGGAAAGCTACTCCATGTTGCTCACAATGATCATAAATACCACCAAGGGAAGCTGACCGATAATGCATATGTTCAGATTCTCCAGGGGGTGGATGTTAAAAATTATTCTGATAAGCTCCACCCCATCTTGGCTGGTACCTGTGTGCCTCCAGGCCCAGTCAGCCACCTGCTCAGTGGTGTGCATCAGGCCCAGGGCTACTAGGCACCAGGCCCCCCCATTGTGTCCAGCTGACCATAGGGCCAAGGTGAGGACCAGAGACCAGCCAAGCGTGGTGGCTCACACCTGTAATCCCAGCACTTTGGGAGGCCCAGGCAGGCAGATCATGAAGTTAAGAGATTGAGACCATCCTGGCCAACAGTGAAACCCTGCTCTACTGAAAATACAAAAATTAGCTGGGCGTAGTGGCCTGTAGTCTCAGCTACTCGGGAGGCTGAGGCAGGAGAATTGATTGAACTCGGGAGGCGGAGGTTGCAGTGAGCCAAGATCGCACCACTGCACTCCAGCCTGGCACCCGGCAACAGAGCAAGGCTCTGTCTCAGAAAAAAGAAAAAGAAAGAAAAGGGCCGGGCGCGGTGGCTCAAGCCTGTAATCCCAGCACTTTGGGAGGCCGAGGCGGGTGGATCACAAGGTCAAGAGATCGAGACCATCCTGGTCAACATGGTGAAACCCCGTCTCTACTAAAAATACAAAAAATTAGCTGGGCATGGTGGCGCGTGCCTGTAATCCCAGCTACTCAGGAGGCTGAGGCAGGAGAATTGCCTGAACCCAGGAGGCGGAGGTTGCGGTGAGCCGAGATCGCGCCATTGCACTCCAGCCTGGGTAACAGGAGTGAAACTCCGTCTCAAAAAAAAAAAAAAAGAAAAAAGAAAAAGAAAGAAAAGAAAAAGAGAAGTCCAGGTCATAAAAGAAGTCAAAAGCATTCCTAAATAATCAGAATCTTCTGCCAAGTTGTCCAATGTCAATTAGTCTTCTGGCACTGCTTCTTCTGTAACTTCTTTCTCATCACCTGGCACTGGTTTGGAAATACTGATCTAAATCAAGTTGCTTTCTTTTAATACCTCCAGTGTGATGTTTGTTAGCTACTGAATTTCTGTGAGATCCACATCTTGGAACGCTTTTGCCCCTACCTTTTTTTTTTTTTTTTGGCTATTTTTTAAAATTAATTTATTTACTTTAGGTGTATACTATATCTGGCATTTCTCCCCATGTTATCCCTCCCCATCCTCCCCTCCCTCCCCATCCCCTGCTGTCTCTCCCTACCCTCCTCAACTGCCCCCAGTGTGTGATGCTCCTCTCCCTGAGTCCACATGTTCTCGTTGTTTAACACCCACCTATGGGTGAGAACATACGGTGTTTGGCTTTCTGTTCTTATATTAGTTCGCTGAGAACGATGGTTTCCAGATTCATCCAAGTCCCTACAAAGGACACAAACTTGCTTTTTATGGCTGCGTAGTATTCCATGGTGTACATGTACCACATTTTCTTTGTCCAATCTATCATTTATGGGCATTTGGGTTGATTCTATGGAAGTCTAGTATTTCTTTTTTTTTTGAGACAGTTTCCAGTTGACACTCAGAAACAGGTTATTCAGTTTCCAAGTGGTTGTGCAGGTTTGTGTATGTTTCTTGATCCTGAGTCCTATTCTGACTGCGCTGTGGTCTGATAGACTGTTTGTTATGATTTCTGTTCTTTTGCGTTTGCTGAGGGGTGATTTGCTTCCAATGATACGGTCAATTTTAGAGTATGTGCAATTTGGTGCTGAGAAAAATGTATATTCTGTGGATTTGGGGTAGAGTGTTCTATATATGTGTATTAGGTCCACTTGGTCCAGCTCTGCATTCAAGTCCTGGATATCCTTGTTAATTTTCTGCTCATTTATCTAATATTGACAGTGGAATGTTGAAGTCTCCCACTATTATTGTGTGGGAGTCTAAATCTTGTTTTAGGTCATTAAGAACTTGCTTCATGTATATGGGTGCTCCTGTGTTGGGGACGTATGTATTTAGGGTACTTAACTCTTCCTGTTGGATTGATTCTTTTACCATAATGTAGTGTCCTTCTTTGTCTCTTTTGATCTTTTTTGAAGTCCATTTTATCAGAGACCAGGATTACAACCCCTGCTTTTTTTTGTTCTCCATTTGCTTCGTAAATCTTCTTCTATCCCTTTATTTTGAGTCTATGTGTGTCTTTGTATGTGAGATGGGTTTCCTGAATACAGCACACCGATGGGTTCTGACTTTTTATCCAGTTTGCCAGTCTGTGTCTTTTGATTGGAGCATTTAGGCCATTTACTTTCAATGTTAATATTGCTATATGTGATTTGATTCTGCCATTTTGTTACTGACTGGTTTTCTTTCCCGTTAGTTGCCTCATTTTCTTCGTTGCATATTTAGTCTTTGCCAACTGGTTTGCTTTTGCAGTGACTGGTACTTGTTCCTTTCTATGCTTAGTGTTTCTCTCAGGAGCTCTCGTAGGGCAGGTCTGGTGGTGACAAAATCTCTCAATAATTCCTTGTCCGTAAAGGATTTTATTTCTCCTTCACTTATGAAGCTTAGTTTGGCTGGATATGAGATTCTGGGTTGAAAGTTCTTTTCTTTAAGAATGTTGAATATTGGCCTCCACTGTCTTCTGGCTTGTAAGATTTCTGCAGAGAAATCTGCTGTGAGTCTGATGGGCTTCCCTCTGTGGGTGACCTGGCCTTTCTCTCTGGCTGCCCTTAGCATTTTTTCCTTCATTTCAACCCTGATGAATCCGACGATTATGTGCCTTGGGGTTGCTCTTCTTGAGGAATATCTTTGGGGAGTTCTCTGTATTTCTTGAATTTGAAATTTGGACTGCCTTGCTAGACTTGGGAAGTTCTCCTGGATAATATCCTGGAACATGTTTTCCAGCTTGAATTCATTCTCCCCGTCATATTCAGGTACACTGATCAAGCGTAGATTAGGTCTTTTCACATAATCCCATATTACTTGGAGGCTTTGTTCATTTCTTTTCACTCTTTTTTCTCTTGTCTTGCCTTCTCTTTTTATTTCATTGAGTTGATCTTCAATCTCTGATATCCTTTCTTCTCCTTGATCGATCTGGCTATTAGAACTTGTGTTTACTTCACGTAGTTCTTGTGCTGTGTTTTTCAACTCCATCAAGTCGTCTATGTTCTTCTCTATGCTGGTTATTCCAATTAGCATTTTGTCTAACTTTTTTTCAAGGCTTTTGGTTGCTTTGCTTTGAGTTAGAACATGTTCCTTTAGCTCAGAAATGTTTCTCACTAGCCACCTTCTGAAGCCTTTTTCTGTCAATTCGTCACACTCCTCGGTCAAGTTGTGATTCTGTGCTGTTGAGGAGTTGTGATGCCTTGAAGGAGAAGAGGTGTTCTGGTCTTTGATGATGGTTTCATCTTTTTTGTGCTGTTTTTTTCCCATCTTTTTTGTGGATTTACCTGGCTGTGGTGTCAAGGAGCTGCTTGATGAGGTTGCTTGTCTGCCCAGGAAGGCCAGGTTTCTGTAATTCTCTAACATCACATTCCTATATAAATTCCGCTGTGCAGGGTCCAGGCATTGCCACTCCTCCAGAGAGAATTCTATGGCTATATCCCTAAATGTCAATGGTTCCATTTCTAGGCTTCCAGAGGGTCCCGGCGTCTCAGCTGCGGATTGCCCAATTTCTGCAGGTCACAAGGCCACAGAGGCTGGGCCTCTAGGAGGAGATGACACAGAGCAGGGAAGGGGAGGCCTAGACCTCCAGCTGCAGGGAGACACCTACTTTATTTTTATATATCCAGAATCTCTTTCATGATTTCCTTGATTAGCTCTGTTGTAAATCTTGTGATGTTACAGAAGTTCTCCAGCAGAAATGTATTGTTTTGGTCTTGATAACTTTCACTGCTTTTTCTATCACAAAGATGGCATCTTCAGTGGTATAATTTTCCAGACTCATGATCATTCAATTGTGTTTCTCTTCCACAGCTTTGACAATTTTTTTTTATAGAGTACCATTTATTATGATCCTTAATGGTCCTTATGACCCCTTGATCTAGAAGCTGAATTAGAGATATGTTTGGGGGCAAGTAGACTTACTGATGCCTTTGATGTTGAACTCATGGGGTTCTGAGGGCCAGAGGTTTGTTTAATCAACAGAACGCCAGAAGCCAGTCCTTTACTAGAAAGGTACCTCCTGACTTCAGGGTCAAAGCATTAACTGAACCAATCCAGAAAAAGTGTTCTTGACCAGGTCTTCTTGTTGTAAAACCAAAAGACTAACAGTTGGTGTTTATCTTTCCCTTCCAGGCTTGGGGATTCGCAGCTTTATACAAAGGTGAGTCCTGATCATAAACTCAGTTGCATTTACATAGAACAGTAGAGTTAGCCTATCCCCTTCTGCCTTAAATCTTAGTGCTCACTTATCATCCTTACTAATATCCTTTAAGGCATTTTATTTCCAGAATAGGGCAGTTGTGTTTGCATTATAATTTTATTTAGGAATATATATTTTCTCCTCAATGCTTTTCTTAGTGGGAATTCATCTGCTACCTCTTGGTCAGTAGAAGGTGCTTCTCCTATTATTTTGACATTATTTTTTAAAGCCAAACTTCTTTCTAAAACTATTAGACCATTCTTTGCTGGCATTAAATCCTCCAACTTTAGATTCTACACGTTTGTTTTGTCATAAAATGACTTCTTTTTTTTTATCAAATCATATCAGAGTCTATCTATATTAGAGGCCCTAACCATATTAGAGTCTCAAGACTCTATCTTATTGCTATAAAGTGCCTTTCTTATAGCTATCTTGTGCCCACATAAAAGCTACATTTTCAATAAAAGATAAAAAGATATTTTGCAAAAAGTACAAGGTTTGTTCACCCGCAGGCATAGTTGTAGAAAAGGCCTCACGTATCCTTTATTTATTTATTTTTTTAAATACAATGATCCTTACCCTGGATTCATTTATCTTGAAATGGCAGGCAACCACAACTGCATACTTCAATTTAAAGTGTGTCTCAAGCAATTAACCATTTTTTTCCTTGCAATTTCATGACTTTTTTTCCTGCGTTTGGGAGCATTTCCAGCATTA